CCTCTTCCTCGTTCCCCTCTCCATCCTTTCCTGCCTTCGGAGCCTGATCCCTGGGCATGTGCTGACTTCTGGTCTCTACTGTTTGCCTGCCCTGAAGACTGAATGCCTCCCTAGTGCTGCTGGTCGCTTTACAAGCCTGCCTGTCATCTGACTGAAAGTTCAGTCCTGGGTGAGTTTGGCTCCAGTCTCGGGGGTTCCACCCATCTCTATCAGCCTAGCAATAAGTCCTGTCGTTTTTTGGTCTGTTTTTTTTCCTTTGCAATTTTGAGTTCCACACTTTTCTCTCACTCGATTCAGGACCTCCTACGGCAATCTCTTTCAGAGTGATTATCGACTTGGGCCTTAGACAAGCATCTTAGATAGTCCACATAGAAAAATAAGAATAAGCTGGCACAAGCCAGGAGAACCGGAGTCATGAGGGAGAATGGGCTCAGCTACGTGTAGCATTTTCTGACAGCTCAGGAATTAGTCCAGTGTGGTGGGAGTAAATGGGACAGACACATCAGTGATGTCAATAGCCAGTTTCCTTTGGACCCATTTTCAGGAAAGACCATTAGACATTTGATAGAGGGACAGCAAAAATGAGGGAAGCCCTCCGTGAGCTGAGCCGACACAACAGCTACAACAGTGGACTGAGACACGCCCATTGTCATGAGCCCAGGCTCAGGCGGCGTCTCCTGTTGCAAATAAGGTCGCCAGAGTCCAAGGAAACTCACGCCTTATCGTCTGCAACCAGAAACCTTTTTGTTTGCAAAAAAAAAGAATCTGTATGAAGTAGAAATTGGTTTCAGTAACATTCAGAGAGAGTGTGTTCTAGAAACGAGATATTTGGATGTACACTTCTGGCAGCAATTGATAGAGCAGTACCAGATGGTTTGGCTGAGACCAACACCTAATGAGGACGAAAGCCTTGTCTGTGGGGAATTATGGGTGATACCTGGAGAAATATTGTACTGTGCATAAACCAAATTGAATTGTTTTCACGTGTGTTGTAAAGTTTCATACAGTAAAAGGTTTTTTTCTACATGCACTTCAATTTCACAGCCAGAGTGGCGTAGAATACCTAAACAGAAGAGAACATGCATGCAAGATATCTAGCTCCTCGATATAATAATGCATACAATTCAAAATGATGACACGATGCTTACATCTAGGGCTTTCTGCAACTACAAGGTGGTGGTTGTGGAAAGCATGGCCCGGGATCGGTATCTAGAAAGCAGCCACCACCTTGTATGTGTGTTTTCTTTTTGCGTTTTTTCTTCATATTTCTTAATCAACTCTGCTGCCACTCCTCCTTCTTAGCAAAACTGGTAAAAACAAAGTTGTCATCATTGAACATTGCACTCTGGCAATCAAGACGTTTAAAACCTTCAATCTTCTGGGGCGAAGAAAGCACGGTGCGACATTTAGAACTCTGATTTACAAGCAGGGTGGTCACAAATTTTCCTGGCTTGAAGACTGCCACAATTTTCCCAATCAGGTCATCATAGGCGGTCTGACTTAAGTTTGTTTCAAAGCTGACATAAGAAAATTCTGGTTCTGGAGTGACGTGAATAGTCCAATAAGTCCCATCCGATTTCATTCCATTCGTTGAATACCCACAAGGATTGCACAGTGTAGCATCAGTGACAGAACCTGGTATCAGGTCACGAATTCCACTCTCACGAGTGACATCCTTTGCAGGAACACCGTCTTTCATGTAGAACTGGTCCGTAACTGCTGGGTCCAGCTCACTCATCAGAATGTCCAGGGTTTGATCTGGCTGGCTGATGACTCGACTCTGGGAAATCCAGAGTATATAAGTCCCAACAGTCAGAATTCATA